CTCTACTTATCTAACTTTGTGTAGATAAGTTCTTTTTACCCACTGCAGATTTGCAACAAATGTACATTATACTTGGAACAGTACAGCAGTGGCATTATACAGTTCAGTCGCAATACCAATGTCATTCCTGTTACTAGTCTCTATAAGCTCACCGTCGCAACTCTGGGCATCCTCTGTCACCGAGAAGGAACATGTAGCTTGAAGCCAGCTCAGGCCCATTGCTCTTTTCAAAATTATTTTGTTAATTGTTCAGTTTTTATACTCACTCTTGGGCTGAGCTACGTATTCGTATTCGCTTCCCCCATGCTGCTCTGGCTAGCTCAGAGAGACATTCATGACTCTTTAATGAACTAAATGGGAGAAACATTTACACCATCAGTTGATCCACTCAGCTGTTGATAGGTGTTTAAGAACACCTATGCCTAAAATAAAGGCCAACCTCTAGTCCCCTTTGTGTTGAGATGAATACATGGGTTACTTTGCAAAAGTTGTGGTCAGTCACACCCTGCCTTATTCCTGAGCTCCCTGGGCACATCACCCTTGCCCATCTCCTTGGAGCCTTCTTCCATTGTCGGGGTTTATTGCTCAGTCACAAAAGTACAAGCTGCGGACCAGGCTCCAGTTGCTGCAGTGCTTTATAGACAGGCCATTTATAAAAGATCCTTTCTCGGAGAGCAGAAGTCCAGCTGCTGAGCTGCTAGAAGTTCTACTCTAGTTCAGTCAGCCTTAGCAAGAGTAGCACGTCTAAGTAACTTTCTCCTTGCCAGGGAAAAAAGCAAGATGATAGTCTTTCATCCTACAAAATTGTGTGTGGCAAAGAACCGTCAGGGGCAGCCACTTAGCAGTATTTCTGTAGGCAGCTGAACTATGAAAGTCATTACCACATCACATAATGAACATCAACGGGAATTGACTGGGATACTCTGCCTTGGGAAGGGCTGTTCTGGGAAGCAAGCACTGCCTGTGTGTTCATTTACAGAAAGTGGTTTTTGGTCAAGCGATCTACTTAGGATCCTTTATGTGGGGGCAGTTGTGAGTTTGGCTAAGCGAACTTTTTTTCTTGCATAAGTAATGTTTCTTTGAACTATTTGTTCCTTAGTAGTCCTATTTCTTGCTTAGGCTGCTTTATTTGGTGAATTTAGTGTCCTGGCAAGGAATGTCTTCCTAGAAATTCTGGAGAAGTGTCTGCTTGCATTGCTGTGGGAGCTGGGAGAGAATAGCTTGAGTGCTGCCTCAAGAGCTAACTTAACACTGCACGGATTTTAGCACAGATAATACTGTCCGTGATTCCTCAGTTTCTTTTTAAAGTCTCAGAGCAAAACCAGGGTCTGGATAACTGCAGACAGAATATTTGGGGGTTTTGAGGTACAGGAGCCCAAGCATGCCAGTCTTTCTGATACATTTCTGCATCTTCAGCGAATGAGATTTCCAGGTAAGTAATTTGTTCAGTATCTTCATCTTGCCTGATCTACTATGTCATCCATCAAAAATCAGTAAGTAATAATAAAGCCTGCATTTAACCTGTCTATGGGCTTTTATTGTGACATTCTAATTATTGCAGACATCTGACCTATTTTTTTCTGTGCTGTCTATTGCAGTGCTTCATGGCCTCAGTAGGGTACTGAATAACATTAGAGGAACCTGACGTTAAGACATGTCATTTCCACACAGTGGGCTCGAAAAACAGTTATCACTGCCTCCCTGGTGCAGCATGGCATTTGGACTTGGTGCTCTCTGCCTGTTACTGTGGGCAATAACAGGTAGGAGTTTACTACTTGTGTGTCTGTCACACAGAATGAGTGAAGCAAATGCTCCTGGAGTGTGTATGCCGGTGTGAATGAAATATGAAGAAGGCCAGAGCTGGGAAATCCTATGACTCCTCAGTGTGAAAAGTTCTTGTAAGGTACAGCTTAATAACTGGCAGTTGTGAGTTGCTGTTTGGAGCCAATTTCTATAGGGCAGGTTTAGGGGAGGTGCATGGGGCAAAAGGGGGTAGTGGGAGAGTTCAAAGAGTTTTCCTTCTTTTTCTCTTACAGGACAGCAATTTAAGAATGATGTATTGCTTGTGTTCTAAGCTACCTTTTTTCTTCTGAAGTATCATAGGATGGTTGATTTACAAGAAGCATAAATGCATTTGTTTACATCTCTCACCACATCATCTGCTCTACAGACATGTATTTCCTTTCAAAGACCACAGGAAAGTCCTGTAAGTTTCTGCTTTCGCCACAGAGATAGGTAGATTATTTCCATAATCAGACAAGTGAAGAATGATAGTAATTCTTAATACTGCCTCTGTGTCATAGGGAGGCTTAATCTGATACAGGCAGTTTTGACATGGCAACTACAGAACACTATATGCAAATAAGGGGTTTATTTCTTTAAAAGACAGTATTTGAATTCTGGCTGTGGAGATACTAGTAGTATCTATATTAGCAGGAATTGAGAAAAAAATGCTCAGTTATCTGCCTTTCATCTCTTGTAGTATAAATGGGATTGGCTGTTTCATGAGGGAGAGCCTTGATAATGTGCTAAGGCTTAAATTGACTGCTGAATTTGGAAATGTTTGATGAGAGGGGATAGTTATTAAGTACAGCTGCGCTTGTAGTTTTGAAGTAGGTTTGAAGTAGTCCTCAAGATCACCCTGAGGATCTCATACTGTTAAGCTTTTTGAGGAAAACATGGAGCTGAGGTTTTTGTTGCTGTGGTGAACAATAAGAATGCCTTTTGTAAATAAGTAAAATGATCTCCAGTGAGATACTGCTGTAGGGTCTATGCCAGCATCTTTACAAAAAAACCACACCAACTTCAACAGAAGGCAGTAATGTGCAGTAAATTATTAATTTTGTCTGTAGAGAATGTCAGTTTTATGCTTTTGATAATGCTGCTAATTGTTAGCAGGCTAGAATATCCTCCATGTGCATATAGGATGTCCTGTTTTCATTCTTCAGTTGCAGTTTTGCTACTCTCTCTTCGTTTATCTTGAGAACAAGACCATTACACTCAGACTGCTGGCTGTATTCCAAGCCTCTCCCTGTGTCTCAGGTACCAGCACACAGTGTTTAGGGGCTAATACATTCTAGTATCACATTATCTTTTTAGTATAAATTTTAGTATTTATTTATTTCCATCTTGAGAATTTGCAGTATTTTCCATCCAATTAGTATTAACTCTATCTAAACTGGAAGGTACTTGCTGATTTCCAGGATATGTTGCTGAATGCATCAGTGGATGCTCACTTTTAAGTCAAAACGACTTTTTTGTGCAGGCTTCAAGATGAATTGACCCAGGCTCAGGAAGCTGCTGGATGTTCATTCTGTGTTTTTTCTCTGCACATGAGCTTGTGCTTCTAAAGGCTACTTTTTCTTTAAAAAAAATTTTCTTACCACTTGTTTTAACTTCAGATAATGAGAAGGCTGATGTACTATGAGAAAGGCTTGACGTTGCATTATTGAGAGAATAGAGAAATGGGCCCATTAGTGAATATCTTCAGAAGGATATTGGAGACTATGCTGTGGTTTGTCAGAATAAATAGAGGTGGGCTACTCTTTCCTGTTTAGATGACATTTATTGGTTTTTTTGTGTGTGTGTGTGGTGGCTTTTGGCTAATGGTGTTTGACTACTTTTCATGCATGTGGTGAGTTGACCATAGCTCGCTGCCTGGTGCTCAGCAAGTTGATCTATCACTTCCCCTTCTCAACAAGACAGGAGAGAAAAATATGATTAAAAGCTCACAGGCCGAGATCAGGACAGGGAGATCAGCTACCAGTTGCGGTCAAGTGCAAACCCAACTTGACATAGGGAAGTTAATTTAATTTATTGACGATTAATCAGAGTAGGGTAATGAGAAGTAAGAACAAATCTAAAAACCTCTTCCTTCTTCCCAGGCTCAACTTCACTCCCAACTCTTCTAACTTCTTCTCCTGAGTGGCTTAGGGGGATGAGGAATGAGGGTTGCAATTGGTTCATAATGCGTTGCCTCTACCGCTCCTTCCTCCTCACACCCTTCCCCTGCTCCAGTGTGGGGTGCCTCCCACAGGATGCAGTCCTTCACAAACTTCTCCAGTGTGGGTCCTTCCCATGGGCTGCAGTTCTTCAAGAACTGCTCCAGCGTGGATGCCCATGGGCTCACAGGTCCTGCTAGAAAATGTGCTTGTGCATGGGCTCCTCTCCATGGGGCTCCAGTTCCTGCCAGGAGCCTGCTCCAGCGTGGGCTCTCCACAGGGTCATAGGTTCCTTCAGGGCACATCCAGCTGCTCTGGTGTCGGGTCTTCCATGGGCTGCAGAGTGAATATCTGCTCCACTGTGGACCTCCATGGACTTGCAGGAGGACAACCTGCTTCACCGTGGTCTTCACCACAGGCTTCAGGGGAATCTCTGCTCTGGTGCCTGGAGCATCTCCTCCCCCTTTTTTGTCACTGACCTTAGTGTATGCAGGATTGTTTCTCTCACATATTCTCACTCCTCTCTCCTGGCTGCTGCTGTTGCACAGTGGGTTTTTTACCCCTTCTTAGATACGTTATCACAGAGGTGCTACCAGCGTCACTGGTTGGCTTGGCCTTCGCCAGCAGTGGGTTCGTGTTGAAACTGGCTCTGTCTGATGTGGGGGCAGCTTCTGGTGTCTTTCTCGCAGAAGCCACCCCTGCAGCCCATTTCCCTCCAACCCCTGGCTACCAAAACCTTGCCACGTAAACCCAATACAATGAAAACCAAAGCTAGAATAGTAGGCGGATCACGTAATGGGTACAGATATGTACTGCTGACTAATGTTTGTGCCTCTCACAAGGCTTGAGCTGGATGTGCCCATAGGTATTAATGTGTACCTGTACCATGTATACCATGTACCATGCCTCTCACGCAGCATCTCATGCAATTTGGATGATTGACTTTTCAAACCTGTGGATGGAGCTCCTAGTTTCTCCACATAGGCATTCCTTAGAATGTCAGTCTGATTTCACTGGCTTGTATTCATTTATTGATGAAATCAGCTTATATTGAAATAGATTTAAATTATTCTGGCCATTAATAAAAATCAATAGTTTTTATGCTAATGATTTTTTTTTTTCCTGTGAGAGATAGAAGATGTTGCTTTGCACAACAATTTACTTTGCAACTGAGAATCTAACACCTTGTAATCAATTCAGTCTAGCTCTCGTCTTGAGCAGGCATATTCTAATCTGGCATTTGAGGCAGGCCTTGTAAATACTGCTATTGAAATTAATTTCTGCAGATACAATGGTGTTCTCATGGCTGACTCAGTTTTCTCATACTGTGTGTTCATATTGTGGTGCTTTGTTCTGAGATTACAGCTCCAACAAAAATGCAAAGATGTATTGGCATGTAATTGCAGTCACGCAGTCTGCTCCAGACATAGATTACATGACCTGCCAGAGTCTTTGCCAGACGTCACACTATACTTGTCTTTACCTTAGGGGAGGGTGTTTCTAAATACAATCCATCGATTTTCAACACATTTCACTACTGCTGGTCTTGGACTTTAAGCATAAGATTAATATCCTTTTCTTCCCACATATCTAACATGTGAAACACAGGGCAGGAGTGTCAAAGGACACTTTAAGATGTAGTTGTGCCCTTGAAATGACAGTGGAACCGCTAGCCTGGGGCCACAGTGCATTCTTTGTTACTTACACTGCCATGGCTAGATGTTCTAGTAGTGTGTTCTGGTTCCCGCAGGTCTTTCCAGAGAGACAAGATGGTGTAGTGCCTGATTATGATCTGAGATTATAGTGAGTTATGCAGTATGCCAGGTTAGTTGACATTGTCCGTGTCTCTATTGGAAGTGGTCTGGTGTTTCCTCATGGAGGGATGTAACAGCTGCGCCAATCCATCTACCCTTCTAGTCTCCAACTGCAGTATCCAGTGTCATTGATGGGAAAGATGAGCTGTCTGTTGAGTGCTTCAGTGCTTAGATGCTCATGTGTAAATTAAGGGGGGAGTGGACTGTGGGTTGGATGACTTATTTTGACAGGCCAGCTCTGCTCTGTGGTTTGGGCACATCTGGATTGTGAGCATAGCCACAGCCTGGTTAAAAAAAAAAAAAGTGGGGGGGAGGGGAAAGTGTTCTTTAGGTGTGGGTGGGTTTTGTGTTTTTTTTTCCTTTCCTTTAAACCATTAACATAAGGAGAAACTTTTTCACTATAAGTGTAACACAGCACTGGAACGGGCTGCCGAGAGAGGCTGTGGAGTCTCCTTCTCTGGAGATATTCAAAACCCGCCTGGATGCAGTCCTGTGTGACCTACTCTAGGTGGTCCTGCTCTGGCAGGGGGATTGGTCTAGATGATTTTTCAAGGTCCCTTCCAACCGCTAACATTCTGTGTCTGTGGTTCTGTGATTTTCCATCTGCAGACAATTAACGGACACACCTAGTCTCAGGCTGAAATACCTTGCTACATTCATCTATTTGTGCCGACCTACTGCTAGAATTTAACTTGGGTGTAACTCTAGCTGAAGCAAGAGATGAAACTTTGATTACTTTGATATTTGGATTACACTGTTAGATTTAATTTAGAGTTGCCTTAATGTTTTTTTCCAGTCCTTATTGGGATGAAACCAAGGCCCTTAGACATTTGAAAAAAGGAGTAGCTAAGGTCTGTGGCTCAAATCCTGCTTGGGAGATTTAGGTTCAAAGTATTGCATTATTTTAGGAATATGCTGGAGTTGTTTCTATGGCTAATGAGAAACCATTCATTTCATTGGAAGTTGACTCTGCAGTGTAATAGCTGATGTATCCAACTGAAAGTGGCAGAGTGAGATTTGAAGATTTGTTTGACATCACACTGAGTGAGGACTTGAAGTCTGACCTTCGATTAGAGCTTTGGATTATTCCAGTGCTGTAAGTCTGTCTCTAAGACAAGAATTGTTGGTCGTTCTCTTCTGAACAAATAAAAATAATGACATTTTCAAATTTCTTTTAACAGGTTGGTGACTTTCTTCTTCAGGGTTGAGGTAAAGAAGGGAAGGGATGAAAACAGCCCTCAAAGGAGTTTTCTCACCCACCTTAATAGTGCTGTTCCTAAAGTATTGATTGTAATGGGTTGTTACAGACCTAATACTGCACATTCACACAGAGTAATTTTTCTTTTTTACCATATTAAAGTCCTGTTTCTTACCTCCCTGCTGACTTCCAGGTTTAACTAAATTGATACAGGTTGAAAAAGGGCAGAATGGTTTAATGGGCTGCCTGACTCCTATATGTCATTTTAACCCAGAGCTTTGCTGGCTCCCCTGTCCTAAGTTGTGGAGACAACTTAAGGGAGAGACTTGTCATGACAATTCGGAGTCTCATGTTCTTGGAGGTGAAAGGAAATGTAGAGGGAATATTTATATGCAATTTGAAAGAAAAAAATGCGCAAATCCTGAGCATCTCCTGGGTACAGATAAAGGTATTTCATGCCTTGACTATGTTAAAACAGGATAGGTTGTTTTAAATTCATGTTCCCCTGGATAGATTTTTTCACTGAAAGTATCAAGTGGAAGAGTAAACAGCATCCCAGCTCTGTGTGAAGTTGTAACTGCAGTCAGAAAAAAGGTACTTGAAGCTGTTTATCCTTTTTGTCAGCTTCCTATTCAGTTATACCTACTTGCAAGTCATTGATCTTTTTTATAATTTTTGTTTCATGTTTTCCCTCACTCCAAATAGTCAGCTCTGCAAAACCGTGATAAAGTCTTGTCCTCTTTATAGCTCAGTGTGTGGCGTAATTTTTTTGTTTGGTTTGGGTTTTTTTTTGCATTGAACTGAACCTACTTTGCAAGCTCTAGGTTCATCTCAGGCGGTATGGTGCCCCACAGGCATTTCAGTAGCTGTATTCAGATTGTGTATTGTGAAGGAGTGTAGTTCAGTCCAGATGATGTGATGGGAACTGCAGTGTGGTGGTAGCACATGCTGCATGCGTAGGAGAATCTCTGCATCTCCAAGGCTCTAGGTCATGGTCAGACCTAACCCCTATTGCTGGTCTATTGCTACTCCTTGATTTCATTTTTGCTGCCCATCGTGTCAACAGATTTGAGCTGGAATCTATTGGACAAGCTGCCTTTTTTTTTTCTCCTACCATATACTATTATGAGTAATGAGGTTTCTGCTGCCAGAACTCAACTGTTAATGATGTGCAAAGCATGCAGAGTCAACTTTGTCTTCCATTATTGTGTTAGCTCCACAGTGGTCACATTCGTTTTCATTGGTTGACTTAGCAAGTCTAGTTGAAAACCATGTTAAGATAATGTCCTGATTTTAACCTAACTGTTTTTTGAACCGTGATCAAATTTTTCAAGTTGCATTTTGGAGAGAGGAATTCTGAAAAGCAGTTATAACCAGGGAAAAAAACCCTAGAGAAGATGTTAAAAATTGACTGAGACATACAGTATGTTGATTCATCCTTGATTTGAACACTTGGCACTTAGTCTGTGATGTGCTGTGAAAATAATTCTGACATCATACTGAAAGATGACAGCTTCACTGCAAAGGAAGGAAAGATGTTCGCTACTGGATCAAGCTCTTGGGATTTCACATGAACTAGTTGGGTAAAACAGCAAAAGTTTGAGAATTTGATCCAGCTTTTATATTAAGCCCAGCAATTATGTTGGTGTGAGGGACTCTTCCTGAAGTTCAAGTGAGATGGCAAATGTTTCTCCTATGTAGATTTTTGCTGCCTTCTCCTTCAAATGAAACAATGGCATGTTACAGCATCTTATTTGAGTTTTGTTTTAAAACATGTTTTACTCACTATGCTATGGGGGTAATGGAGGTACTCCATTTTTTTTTTTTTTTTGTGTTCCGTGCTCTGTTCTTGGTTTTAAGTATTGGCATCTCACTTTCATCTCTGTGTATTTGTAGCAAGGGAGTAAGAGGTACTTTGCAGAACACATCAAGATCCTGCAGTGAAAAATCCTCCCAAGTACAAATACTACTGCAAAGTGACATGTTGAGAAGAAAGTAGTTGTGACATTATTTAAAAGAAATGAGCTTATTTAAGCAGGGTACCACCTGTTTTTGTCTTATTTCTTGTGATAAGCATATTTGGTCAAGGTAAACTATATTATGGCTTGGTTGTAATGTTGTGCCTTATGACGGTGGTGTTGTTTCAGGTTCCAGTTGTGAACAGTGCAGAGAAGGAGCCATGTACTCAGGTGCAGTAATATCTCCCAACTTAGAAACTGCTAAAATTATGCGAGTTCCTCATGCCATGTCAGTGTCTGACTGCATCGCAGCGTGTTGTGACCTCTCTGGTTGTGACTTGTCCTGGATGTTTGAGCGACACTGTTACGTTGTGAACTGCCAACACAAAGAGAATTGTGAACCTAAAAAAATTGAAAGTGTAAACTCCTATCTTACTTTTGTGCTGAGGCCTTCTCAGAGGCCAGCTTCAATGCTAGGATTTAGGCAAGTAATACCAAGCATGATCCAATCTGTGGGACTCCAGAATGAGCCATCTGAGGAATTGAGTAGCCTGAAGGAGCTGTCTCTGCTTGGCAAAGATCACAGCCTTGAGGAGATACCTGAATATATTGATGATTATAAAGAGTTGGAGCAGGACCCCTTTCAGGTGAACATCAAACACGAGCAGAAGGAGAGCACGGATTATCCTGAGTGGGTCTTGATGGTGGCAGGTGAAAATGGCTTCAACTCTTCTGTGGGTGATGATGGAGATAACCAGGAAGACTTCACTGAAAAAAATGGGGAGGCTGAGAAAGTGGAAAGCCTGCTGAATAAAAACAGCTCTGAACTGAACTCTGTCACTGAACACTCCGTAGAGAGGTTGTCGGCTCTCCCGGAGATTACACCATTCCCTGGGAAGACACTTGAAAGTGAAGCAGCTGTTCAACTTCTTGCACAGCCTGATGATGCCTTGCAAAAAGAGGTATGTTTGCCCCTCAGGAAGCAGACAGAGTACGGTGAGACCATTTTGCAACTATTTTGTTTTTCAAGTCACACTAGGTTATTGCTTTGTAATGTAAACCTAACACTCAAATGAATTACAATCCTGTTACAGTGTAGAAAAGGCTGAAGGGGAGAAGATTGTCTTAACAGGCAGATGAATTGCTAAAGGACTCTTTTTCTATCAGGTGATAAGGAGCAGAGCTCCTTTTGGAGCACTGTGGGGTTTCCTGTGATTCTGTGGTTCTTTGGAAGTGTACAGATGAGTAGGCTTGGACCTGGTGTAATAGCGTTACAGTATTCTTCCCTTCTGACCCTTGGTGACTCACTAGAAGAAGTTAGCTGAGCAGTACTAGTGGACCCTCTAGTATCTGAAGGTTAATCCGTCAATAAAATTAAGCCTGTTCTGTGGGTTTCGTGTTACTAATGCATAGTGGTGTTACAGATGTAATGATGCTGAGTAAATACCTTTTATAATGCTTTTAAAACATATAAGAGAGGCAAGGTACATAAGGAGGGACAGTGGTCGTTTTGGACCATGATGTACAGCAGGTTAAAGTAGATAAGGTGTTTTTGTTCTCAGAATCCTTTTCTTGAGTCTGGCAATAAGAAAATTAAGTTAAATCCTTAAAACCTAATTCAGATACTTAAGTAAGATGCACCTGTTCTCTATTTATGCCATCCAGTTTGATCAGTGGAGGTTAAAGGGGCCCTGGTTTGTTAAGAACAGGGTGGAATCGGTCGGAAAGTTGAAACCAGCTGTAAAGCCAACATTTACTGGGTTTGACACACACCCCTGCTAGACGGAAGAGGAAATGAAGCAATGTTAACTGAATTCCTCTAAATTCCACCAGATTTTGTAACTAGCAACTACCTGTCTTTTGCTGTAAAAATGATAATATTGTCATTACCATCGGGAAGAAAAATACTTGTAAATAAGAAAGTTGCATGAAATATGTGACAACTGACGTTCTTCCAGGGAATGACTGAAATGGCAAAAGTATGTGTGCAGAACAGTGAGCCTTAAGATACAATCTAACTTTGATACCATCGCAGCCTAGAGGTGCTCACTGGAGGGTGTTTGGACTAGATGACCTTTAAAGGTCCCTTCCAACCCAAACTATTCTGTGATTCTATGTTTTGTGCTGTTGCAGAAGAGAGTGTCCCAGGAAAGGTACATTTGAGGTGACTGTCCCCATCTGTCCTACAAAGCCAAGATGGTTGCTTCTCAGCTGATAGATTTGCAAACGGCTGGGAGAGGAGGAAAGCCAGATGAAGCTCAGAAACATAGATTTCTCTCAAATTTGGAAGGCAAAGAAACACTGTGGTTTGCCAAAGTGTGATAAAGAAGATCTTTTTGGAAGGTGTGGGATGTAGTGAGTATGTAAAGGAGAGCTATCTAGAGGAAAGGCCTTTTGTCAAGCAGGACTGTGCATGGTAGTGTTGTCAAGGTTGAGATTCCTGCCGAGGCTCTAGGATTAGCATGCTGAAAGCAGTACCTTAAGGGAACTGCAGTCTGTGATCCAGCTGCCGGTGTCTCGGCTGCTCAGAGAGAGTTTCTTACTATCTGCATATTGAGCAGAGCTGGAGGTGTGGCCACAAAGGTGCCTGCATCATCTGTGTTATGGACCCATCTGGAGGTGCAGCTCTTGGTGTGGTCCTCAGCATCCTCACAGGAAGGCAGCCACAGTCCCCAGTACTGCTGTCACTGTTCTAGCTGCACAGGGTTCTTTTCTCTGTCTTCTTTGAAGGCAGAGATGGAGTTGCAGATGACTTCCATGCTCTCAGTTTCTTCACAGGCTGGGAAGCAACAGTCCCTGACATTGCTTTCACGTTCCCACCGTGCACAGGGAGCTTTTCCTCCTGTGCTCATCCAAGGCAGAGCTGCTCTGATTTCCAAGGGAGGAAACAGGCTGCAGGGTGCAAGTGGAGCACCTGAAATATGAAAAGGAGCTGGGAGCTGGGACTGTTCAGCCTTCAGTTCTGAGGGTTCAGAGGATCCTAACACTGTGTATAAATAACTGTGGCAGGAGTGAAAAAGATGGAACCGCCTCTTTTCAGTGCTGCCCAGTGACAGGACAAGAGGTAATGGACACAAATTGAAATACAAGGAATTCTATTTAAACACTAAACCCCATCTTTTTCTTTTTTCCTGTGAGGATGGTCAAACACTGGAACAGGTTTTCCAGACAGGTTGTGGATTCTCTGTCCTCAGAGATACTAAAAACCTCACTGGATGTTGTCCTAAGCAGCCTGCTGTAGCTGCCCCTGCTTTGAGGAGAGGGGTTGAACTAGGTTATCTCCAGAACTGCCTTCCCACCTCAGCCATTGTGTGATACAAGTGTGCATTTTACCAACTTTGATAATCCTGTTATTCAGTGAATAGATTATATACAAGTAATAGCAGTATGTTATGTCTTCATGTGCTGTGCACAGTAGCCATAATTGGCAAAATGCTTTTCTGTAGATGTTAGGTCAGAAATAAGTCTTGAGAATGTAAGGAAAAGCTGTTGGCCAGTTGAGACTAATGTGTCGTTGAAACATGATGAGGCCTCAGAGAGTGAGGCAAGATGATGGGCAAGGCTAACACAGTGATGAATTCTTCCTGTGAAACTTGCTGTGTCCTTTGCTGCAGTTCTGATTTACTGACAAGGTTGATCAGTGAGAAGAACACTACTGCTTGGTGACTGAAGTCAGAAGCGTTTTATTAGTGATGAAGAAATAAGAAGGCATGAGCAAGTTCTGGTCTGAGCAGGTGTAGTAAAATGCAAGGAGTTTGTTGTGTCTGTGTGTACAGCATGAAGACAGTAATACCACACAGACTTTCTGTCATTGGCTTTTAAAGGTTTATGACCATATTTAGACCTGTCCTACTGTTCTTTATTATTTTGAGAACTGATAGCCTTAGTTGTATTCCAGGTTACCTCATTTTGATGACCATAGCCTACACTGTTCTACATCTGCAACTTGGAAAATGATTAGCGTTCCTTACAAAGCCTGGTGGGAAAAAAAAAAAACCAAAACAGTCCTCCTTTGATAGATGTTCTGTATATGAATAAAATCTCCTAGTAACCTAAATCATTGCCTACATACTATTTAAAAAACAGTATACCTCTAGATCTAGAAGTGTGAAAAATGTCTCACTTATGAAACTCTTTCAAACTCATTTTTCAGGCTGCTACACCTTCCCCGTCTTCAGACAAACTGGATTTTTCCCTAGGTGTCTCAGAGAAAACCCAGACTCCCACAGTGGCCCCGGAGAATGTCGCTGAAGGTGGAATCATGCTACTTCCCGCTCATACTGTGCCATCTGAGCCCATGCAGCAATTTACACCACCTACTACTGTTGCTAAAGCAGGTAATGTTTCAACATCGCCAGAGATCTGAGGGATACCTGCGGGTTGGACAGCAGGCAGGGGTGGCTTTACTACTGTCAGGCTTCCAACCTGTTGTTAGTTCTGAGCTTGCTCTTTATCCAAATCTAACATGATCCTGCTTTAAGCCTGTTAGACCTAGTCACACTGCAAAATGCAGACCCCTTAGCCAGTTACTTCTGAGACAAAACTCTGACCAAGTCCGTCACTGATGGGAAACTATAACTCAAGCAAACACAACAAAGTAAAAAGCAGACATTAAGAGCCTTTTTTAACTTGGTTAATTCTTACGCTTGGTGAGAAGTACCTGAGGCTTTCTGGAGTTTCAGAATAGTCTCTTCTAGCCATACCGTATGTTATTTTTGTGTGACTCTTCAGAACATTGCTCCCTCTCAGAAACTCTTCAGTAGGGTTCTCACTATATATAGTTGCCAGATATCATGCAGCAGCATAGATAGGACCTGAGGAAGCTCAGCCCTTAGCAGGGGAGAACATGGCCTCCTCATCCTGGGAAAAAAAAGTTTTGCTCTGATTTCAAAGCTGTGAGGAAGCGTATCAGGCTTCCAGCTGCAGAGCAGAAGTTTTTATTTTAAAAAGGATGTGTTTAACCACTATGTCCTCTGTAGCTGTGTTAAACTCTGTGTGTATGTTAGAGTATCTCCTTTCTACTTCTGAGTTTCCTGTCTCCCTGTGCACCCTGATAAAGGGTTAGAAGGGCCACAAGAGGCAGAGAAGCACAGATATGTCTTCTACACCTCTGATGTACTGAGGGATATGGTGAGGTAAGCCCCTTGCTTCCTGGTAGAGCAAGTTTGGTTTTGGGACATTCTTGGCACCCTCTGTGAAACTGCAGCCTGCCAGCAAGGATAGCAGTAGGAGGTAACAGGAAGAGATGAGCTACAGGAGATCGCTTTCCAAGGCAGTGGATCATTGTTACCATTGAGTGTTAACTAGGCAGCTCCTCCTCCTCCTTCACAGGAGGAGGTTGAAGAGGACTCAAAAAGGAGCTTGGAAGAGGAATCTGAAGGGAAGGTTGAGGTGAATCTCCCTGTAAGTACTGCTTTGTGCAAGGATTGCCTCAAGTTTATGTGTTCTTAGCCCTGCTGTCTTGGAAGTCTCAAAGAAAGTCCCTCCGTCTCTCCTTTGGTCTTTACCTTCATCTAGCCATTTTAATCTCATCTCATGTGGAGGTCGAAGTACAAACCTCCACTCCACTGGTGTCTAGGGCAACTCCCATGAGCAATTATGGAGCCTTGCATGCATTTAAATAGCAGTGACAGAAAGTGTGCTCTCAATGTGACCTCTTCACTTCATCCATTTTTAGACCTGTCAGCTGCCACTGCTGAGTAGCCTCTTGCTCGTCTGTTCAGAGTTTGTAAGTTGGACAATTAGACAACAGTGAATGTTGCCTTTTGGAGAACCTTTGTTCTGTGGGTGCCCAAAATTAAAAGGAAAACATTTAAAACTTTTGAAATATGGGTCTATGGAAACCTTTCCTGAAGTTGTGCTTTGGTGTGTTTCTTTTGGGGACTGGATTTGTGGAATTTGGCATTTTTGGAAGAGGAAAGAGTTTTCACAGATGAGAACTGGGAGGGTGTTCCTGTATGGCAAATAGGTTGAATTGCAGTTCAGCTGCGAGATATCACCTTTGCTCTACTATACAAGTGGAATTTTTAAAAGGGACACAGAGCTGGACATTGAGGCATGCCTCACAAGTGCCATACAAACACAGGAGTAGTGCTTCTTGGTGAAAGAAGGTGTGATATTAGGCTTCTAATGTGGACTATATTACTTTATTTAATGAGGTTTGTTCTGGTGCAGATGGCTATTTTGTCTTCTGCAATTGCCTATTTTTTAATTCCTGCACTTCTGTCCAATTACTAAGAAAAATCCATAATTCTTTATGCAGAGTGATGTTACCTGTGATATACAGGAATAATCTGAATGCTTTTCTCTGAGACAGAAGTAGGGGAAATGACATTTTATATTTGTTGAAGAGGAAAAATTTTGGTTTGGTAAAAGGTGAAGGAGTCATAGTCATGATAGTAATAAGTTATTACTTGATTATGTATTGAGGAATTTTTTTTTTTTTACCTATCCTTGCCTATTCACTGTATAGTGTCAAATTTTACTTAATCTGTTACAAGTAATATTTGAAGATACTGCATTTCTATCCATCACATCTGTTAAAACATGATATATTCATTCTGTCTTAGCTACAGTAAAAGAACTTATTGTGTCTGCTGGAGATAACATACAAGTGATGCTACCCAAAAATGAGGTTGAACTGAATGCCTTTGTTGTCCCACCACCGCCTACAGGTGAGTTGAATGGCGTTGGCGTGCAAGGAGATGCACCAACCTGTAAATGCAGACAAGTCCCAAGTTACGTGAACATCTGCACCTCGAATAAAACCATCATTTTCACCTTCTACTACCTTTTTTGTGGCTCCAACTGCAGAGAGGATTTCCTCCTTTGGATTTTAGAGTTTGTTTGTTGGGTTTTTTTTAAAATGGCTTTTATTTTTAGAACCTGAACTAGGCAGGCACATGGTTCAATAGAAGGCCTGTAGTTTCTAACGAAAGATGATGTGGCCAAGGTTATAGCATCTTGCTGTAAAGCAGAGGCGGGGACACTAGGTTCTGAATGCAGTATTTACCTTAAAATTACCAGCTTCTGAACTGCAGCAGCAAAGAATACATATTTCGTAGGTAGCTGTGTAAAATGCATTCACTTCACGTGAAGCTGGTGTTTTGTGAAGTCATCAATTATTTGTGAAGTCCATTACATCCTTGCTGCTTTACCAAGTTACAACACATTGTGTAAGTTTAACACATATTCATACTGCTTCATTTTGTAGGCTTGAACAGTAGCTGTCATGATTTCCTACTATAGCATTTTATCTGAAGGATGGTAAACTTGATTTCTTTGTTTCCTGGGCTTATCTTGAAGGCAAAGCTGATTACTCTTACTCTGTATTATTGCTCTTAGGAACTGCCTACACCTATGAGTGGAGCTTAATCAGTCACCCTGCTGACTATGGTGGTGAAATGGAGCGCAGGCACAGCCAGACCTTGAAGCTCTCTCATGTAAGTGAGCTGTAAAGCTCAGGCTCCTTGTATTTGTGTGGTCCTTTCACAGGTTTCTGACCTGTGGGGAAGGGCATCTTGATTTGAGGAGTTCAAATGACTGACAGAGTCTCTTCACTTGTATGTGGCATCAAATCTTTGCCAGATTAGAGGTGTCTTTTTTTTAGAGTGCTCTAATCATTTTCTAAGATAGAGTAAACTTTCCTAAGTGTTTGCTTTGTATTCCCTAGTTCTGGGCAGTGACTAGTGGCCTTTTGTGTATGTGTTTATAAAAGGAGATCTAGGTTTCAGATATCCAGATTTTTCTCTGTTTACAATATGATTGGCAGATTTATGCGTACTGCTTTTGCATAATTTGACGTGTAACCTGATTTGTTCTGTGTTTTTCTCAGTTATCAGTAGGACTTTATGCCTTCAAAGTGACTGTTTCTGGTGAAAATGCATTTGGTGAAGATTTTGTAAATGTCACCGTCAAACCAGGTAAATCATTTGGCTAAAATTAATTTCTTCCACACAAGCAGTTGTACAACATGCTTATCTAATAGTCAGTCAGTTACGGTCTGTCAAGGACACCCGGCAGTCCAGTCATGCAGAGGTGTTTTGTATCTTGGTGTCCATAAAGCATTTTAAGGAAGTAGAGTTAAGGATCTTGTTCACTGTGTTTAAGCGCTCTCTGGTCTTGTAGCCTCCTCAGGCAAGGTCTGAGATTGCATCATCCCGCCTTTCATGGTCCCCTTCTCCAGCACAGCTAGGAACAGCAGTTAGGTATTGAACCGGATGTAGCTCTAAGTTACAGTGCACAGGTTTGATCTGAATCATACCAGTTAGAAGTGGCTGCAGTGGAAGGCTGCTTCATCAGTACGCTGCTCCTCATAACCTTTTCTCTCCCTTGTCCAAGAAGCACAGCAGATACTGGAAAGGTGTCAATCCTAGATTTAAATGACTGGAGACTGTTGATCTGTAGAGTTAACAGATCAGTTTTGCCTTGGGCTTTCACTGCTTTCCCTTGTCACCCCCCCCTCTGTCTTTCTCACAGCAATCAGAGTTAACCAGCCACCTGTTGCCATTGCCTCACCCAAAGTACAAGAAGTTTCTTTGCCTACAACTTCTACCTTCATTGATGGCAGTCGTATGTACTGGACCATCCTGTGCTTATGTCTTGTATTTTTAGTATCCAGTGACAACATTATTGTTCGTCAGTTACAAATGAAATTCCTTCTTCTCGCTCTACCCAGAAGTTCCCTGAATCATGATTTATTTCTGGGATTTGAGTCCAGTTATAATTATTTTAATAAATAAAAAGTGATAAAATGCAGTCTCCCACTTGGGGACTGAGACACAGTGTGTTGGAGGCTGCTGCATCCAAGCAGCAGCTGCTCTAACAGCTTCTTCCTGTCCTGCCCAGAAGGCCTCTGTGCCAGTACAGCTGGGGCCATGGTAGAGAGCTGTTACACAGGTATGATGAGATGTCATGCTTACGTTCATAATTACCAAGAGTGGACAGGTTGGAATGTGCAGAGTCTGAGACTGATTTTTATTTGTGTGTATGTGTAAGAATTTTTCGTTTGTTTGTTTAGATAAACCATACCAAATGTAACTGGGAATCTGTGGTTTTGACAGCTATGGTACATGAACCCTGTTTGAATATGATTGAAAAGATAATTGTAGAAAACCGGTTAGAGATCAGTGCATGAAAGACTTTAGTATTCATTCCATCAGTTGCCACAAGAAATTGATACGTTTTTCTTTAATGAATGTAGAAAGTATAGATGACGTGAAGATAGTGAGTTACCACTGGGAGGAAATTAAAGGTCCTTTGCGAGAGCAGAAGGCATCTGCTGACACAGCTGTCTTACACTTGTCTAACCTCGTTCCTGGAAACTACACATTCAGGTACCTGCACAGATGCTTTCCTTTGGGGTTTTAACTATTTCTGTGATGCCAGCTAAATGTTTGTTTCTCTTTGTGCTCACATGTACCTCTGCAAATGAAAAACTTCATTTTTCTTCTGTGTGCTGTTATCCTTCATTTTGCACAGCGGAGAGACATAGGGAGCAGTTTTATTAGAAAGTGCTTGCAGTGATTTTGTGATACCGGTGTAGTGATGCCTTACAGCACAAAGTTATGCAAAACAAGGTGTCAGAAATTAAATACCTCCCACTCACAGCAGTAATAACTGTGACAGTACATTATTTATTTATTTTCCAACTTAGAAGTTGGCAAGTGTCTTGAGATGAAACTCTATAGTCAGGCTGTGAAAGTCATCCCCTGAAGGGTGGTGGCAGACAGAACAATATCGGGAGGCTGATCCTTGCAAGGCATCATTGTGTGCTGATTTTAGTAACAGTCATTCTGTTCTTCATAGAAGCCTTTCCCTTGATATGGTTTTCCTCCATTTATGCATTGCTGAAGCTGTATTTTGTCCAGACAGTGGAAGCCATGTTTGTGGTTCTGGGTGCTTTAATTAAAATCAGAGCTCATTTTCTGAACTTTGGAACTTAAAGCCTAGTCTGCAAAGAGGCAGGCTTCCCACTGACCCAACCTGGGTTATTTGGCTTCCAGTGGGTAACAGCCTACCAGTCAATACATTGTGTATCAGTGTAGCATCAGCAGAATGTCGAAGCTAGTGTACATAAACATTAAATGTCATGCTTTGCATAAGCTTCACCAAAAATTGCATAGCGTCAGTTTCATTCTGTGTTCTTTACTGGTATTGTTCCATACTGTACAGTGGCAGAAATAAGCACAAGATTTTTTTCTGTATTAAAAAGGCCAGAATTTGTTTACAAGCAATGCTCTAAGTGTGTTCCAAACCCTGGGAATTAAGAAATCACTTTCTTTATCTGTACACCTTTGGGGCAGGCTGAGGTACTTCAACAATAGAGCAGTGTGTTTAAGCTTACAGGAAATGGTTTCAAACTGAAAGAGGGTAAATTTAGATTAGATATTAGGAAGAAGTTCTTCACTGTGAGGGTGGTGAGGTGCTGGCACAGGTTGCCCAGAGAAGCTGTAGCTGTCCCTCCCTGGTAGTGTTCAAGGCCAGGTTGGGTGGGGCTTGGAGCGACTTGGTCTAATGGAAGGTGTCCCTGCCCATGGCAGGGGCTTGGAACGAGATGATCTTAAAGGTCCCTTCCATCCCAAACCATTCAATGATTCTATGAAATTAGCTGCTCAACAAAATCCAGTGCTCCTGATATGCCTAGATGTGCACGCACTGCAAAAGTATGTGTTCCCTAGTTGCAGGATTAACAAGCAGTCATTTTGTTCCCACTCGGGGAAGACTTCAAGAGTGGTTCCCTTCGATGTGGTCAGCTGTATGCAGTTTTCACAAGAGCTGAATTAGAGATGTATAAGGGGTTACCACACTGTGGAGGGCAGTCTTTCATCACTTTTGGGTGTCTGCAGCAGTCTTAGTTTAACATGATTTGTCAACGTGTTTCTGAGAGGCCATAGTGTTTTCTTTAAACCCTGTGCTTTTGTAGTTTTGTGACGTGACATCCTTCAAAATCTGAGCTGATATTAAGCTCCATTAAAGTTAGTAATAATGTGCCACAAAGAAATAAGAAGTTAGGAACTGCTACTGTGCTATAAGCAGAGCTTCTGAACATCCAGGCTAGTTTTGGATGTAGGTGTTAACAGGGACTATTCTAGTACAGCTAATGAATTAAATCCATGGTTTTTACTGAGTAAATTTTTTAAAGAATTTGCAATGAAATCTGTTTGAAATTGATGAAGTTGCCATTGACTACAGGGAAGGGGTTTCGTCTGGGATCCAGAATAGCTAGCTCTTTTTTCCTTAAAGGTTGAAAGCTGTGCATGAAAACAGTCTTCTGAATTTTTTCCTACCTTAGTTGAGGGATACAGAATCACAGAACAATTTGGGCTAGAAGCAACCTTAAAGACCGTCGGGTTCCAACCCCACTGCCATGGGCAGAGTCACCTTCCACTAGACCAGCTTGCTCCCAGCCCCATCCAGCCTGGCCTTGAACACTGCCAGGGAGGGGCACCCACAGCTTCTCTGGGCAACCTGTTCCAGTGTCTCGCCACCCTAATGGTGAAGAATTTCTTCCTAATCTCTAATCTAAATGTACCTTCTTTCAGTTTGAAACCATTACGCCTCATCCTATCACTACACTCCCTGATAAAGAGTTCCTCCCCACCTTTTCTGTAGCCCCCTTTAAGTACTGGAAGGCTGCTAGAAGGTCTCCCCTGGGCCTTCTCTTCTCCAGGCTGAACAATCCCAGCTCTCTCAGCCTGTCTTCATAGGGGAGGTGCTCCACTCCCCCGAGCATCTTTGTGACCTCCTCTGTCTGTCTTATGCTGGGGGCCCCAGAGCGGGGTGCAGCACTGCAGGTGGGGTCTCACCAGAGCAGAGCAGAGGGGCAGAATCCCCTCCCTCGACCTCCTGGCCACACTGCTCTTGATGCAGCCCAGGATGTGGTTTGCTTTCTGGGCTGCAAGTGCACATTGCTGGCTCATATTCAGTTTTTCATCCACCAGCACCCCCATGTCCTTCTCTGCAGGGCTGCTCTTGATCCACTCATCACCCAGCCTGTGTCTGTGCTTGGGATTGCCCCAACCCATGTGCAGGACCTTGTACTTGGCATTGTTGAACTTCATGAGGTTTGCATGGGCCCACCTCTCCAGCTTGTTGAGGTCCCTCTGGATGTCCTCCCTTCCCTCCAGCATGTTGACCCCACCACACAGCTTGATGTCGTCAGCAAGCTTGCTGAGGGTGCACTCAGTCCCACTGTCCATGTCACTGACAAAGGTGTTAAATAACACTGGTCCCAATACCGACCACTGAGGAACGCTGCTTGTTGCTGCTCTCTGCTCGGACATCGAGCTGTTGACTGTGACTCTTGAGTGCGACCATCCAGCCAGTTCCTGATCCACCAAGTGGTCCATTTGTCAAATCCATGTCTCTCTAATTTAGAGATAAGGATGTTGTGTGGGACAGTGTCGAATACTTTGCACAAGTTTAGGTAGATGACATCAGTTGCTCTTCCCTTGTCCACCAGCGCTGTAACCCCGTCATAGAAGGCCTATGTTTCTGAACACAGGCCTTCTGTTTCTGAAGCAGCAGTACATACAATCTAATCAGTGACTCTGTTTTAGCTGATGTTAGAAAAAGTGCCAGAAGTGAACTTTTGAATTTAGGATGTGGCAGAAGTCCATCTTAACGGATTTCCGATACTGTTTTTCCTGTTGTAGACTCACGGTGATTGATTCAGACGGAGCAGCCAACTCCACCATTGCGTCTCTGACTGTCAACAAACCAGTGGATTATCCACCTATTGCCAATGCAGGACCTAATCAGGCAGTCACCTTGCCCCAGAACTTCATCACACTGAATGGAAACCAGAGCAGTGATGACCATGAAATTGTCAGCTATGAGTGGTCACTCAGTCCCAAAAGCAAAGGCAAGGTTGTAGCAATGCAGGTATGTCTATTTCTCCTTGCATAGGATTGGAAAGTTCTTCTATCTTTGCCTCTAACATAAGCAAACATATACCTAAGTAACTATGCAGAAGCACTGAAATACCTAGAGTGCTGTTACTCTTTTTTTTTTTTTTTTTGGTCATTTTTCCTCTCTGATGTATTCATTTCTTATTTTAGGTACAACTGTTAATTCCTTATCATTATTTTTTTCTTTACTTGTGGACCTTTCTCATTATTCCCTGGTGGTTTGGATAGGCTTCAAGTTCACACTGTCTGTCCTTGGACCCTAGAGCTTGGTTCACAGGTTTCCATCTTCTGAGACGCTGGATGTGCTGAAAACTGGTTTTGGGAGACTGGGGGGGTAGTTGGGGTTTTCTTGTAATGCTTTCTGCTGGAGAAAGTAGGACTCAAATAGGAGAATCATTTTCTGAGTGAAAGATGACAAGACTTTTGGCAGTGTTATGAAGCCTTGCTCTGTGCACTGGGTTTTTTATGCTAAGACATGGGTTTCCTATGAAGGCTAACTGAATTTATTCTTTTATTTTCATGGCTGTATTTTAAAAATAAAAATTGAGAAAAGTTAGCAAAAATTTTCAGTGGACTTGCACTCAAGAAGTTGGAGACTCTTACAGCTCTGTAGGCGGTTGAGGTAATTAATAAAGTCAGATGAAGATCAGAAGCCATTTTTTGTAAGAGACGTGATTTCTATGTTGCAAGTGCTTTAGACCTTCAGAACTGGAAAGAAATCACTTTGTAGATCTGTTTAGGAAAGGAGTAATATTGATGCAAGCATATACTGTAGAGGCAATTATGAAACTATGAAAGGGCTTAGTGGCATAATGGCTTATTTCTGTTCGCTTACCAAGGCAAACACTTTCCAGAAGCATCCATGCAACCTGAACTTGTAGTTTTTAAGAGCTGTTCAGTCTTAAAGTAACCTTCCTGAAAGGAGGGAATGACTGATTAAGATATCTAATGGCTCCTTGGGTATTTAATGTGAAAATGCAAGACCATTTCACAGTTTCTTTTCAAGAGCCTAGTAATCTCTTTTCATGTCCCTAAAGCGAGGATGCTGGTCTCAGGTGTGTTATGTGGTATCCATGTTAGAGTGCCATATAACAAGTACCTCTGCTGGTTAGTTAATCATTTATCAGGTCCCTTAGTTCTTGTTATCACCTTTATCCAAAGAAACCGAAGCCTGATTGCATTGTGATTTGTTATTCCTCATATGGGAGCTGCCACAGATGTTTGGTTTATTAGCAAAAGGATCTATAGCTGGGCTATAGATGGCATTTTATGAGCTTATATAGGTGTTGGCTGATACTGCTGGCAGAGTATACTTGGGACAGAGTTGTCTAAATAGTTTTTTTCCACAAGCCTATCTGTCTAGGATTAAGTCAAGCTTCTTGGGTTTGTGTGTAACAATTTTTGTAAATATTATGTTAAAGAATGTCATGATGTTTGTTTTTAAAAAAAGGAAATGGAATAAGCTGCACTAATGTCCATCAGTGTTTAATTTCCTAATTGAGAAAGTTAATGTCCCATGTGTTTGACAATTATTGTTGTTCAGAAATAATGCAGCAATTATACCAACATAAGAAATTAAGATTATTGTCTATAGGCACTTCTCTGGGTTGGTAGGGACAGTTGCAGTAGTGAATACTTTACATCTGTCTGTGCATCAAATTTGGATTCTCCACTTTGTCTACAAGTTGCTTAAGCTGCTTGCCCAAACACTGTATTTATGAATTAAAACAATTTTTTTTTTCTTTGTTTGTAAGACCTTTCATAATGCACGAGCATTTCTCTTTTACCTTGCGCTCTCTGTCTTTATAAACATCACGTAGGGAGTGCGGACGCCGTACCTCCAGTTATCTGCAATGCAGGAAGGAGATTATACGTTTCAGCTGACTGTCACAGACTCTGCGAGGCAGCAGTCCACGGCTGAGGTCACACTGATTGTACAGCCTGGTAAGTCAGATGCAGGCACGTCTGGGTCCCTCAGGGCTGGGCCAGCCTGGTGCCTTAGCACTGTCCTCGAATGCCTCATCTCCCCAAATTGCACCATTGAGATGGCAGTCTGAATATCCAGGAAACCTTTACAGTGGGCATTTTCTGCAGAGATCAAGAACATGAATTGGAAGTACAGCATGTAGTCGTGCCTTCTAGACCTGTTATAGTGTGGAACTAGAAAGGTGAATTGGAAGTACAGCATGTAGTCATGCCTTTCTAGACCTGTTATAGTGTGGAACTAGAAAGATGTTATTGCTAAAGTCAGATCCAAGGGTAAATAAACATCCAGGAAAATGGTAGCATTGCCAGTTTTACTATGTCACAAAAGCAGAGGTTGAAAACAGGATAATAGGTTATATGTTTCTGCACTAAATCTTCCAAGGTGTTAAATTTGCATTAACGTAGTGGTGTTTCGCTGACCTTGAGCAGCAGAAAACCTGGGCCGGTATCTTGAGGGCAAAGAACCATATTTGTGTGGGTGGTTTTGAAAGGGATGCAGTGGTGGAACCAGGAGAATACCCCACCACTCTTGTTATAAAAAATTTCATACAATGCATTGAGCATGCTGCAAAATTTGTGGAGTGTGACTGTGCCTTCAGATACAACTGTGAAAAAGGGAAGTACTTGCTGTGGGATTTGGCTTGTTGCACAGCTGGTCTCTCCCAGCTAGTATTTTCTGCTGGCTTGTGCATGTTACACTTGTGATTTGTACCTTTGAGCCAATATATCAAATCTGTAATATAATATTCTGTGTAAAATCTTCCCTCTGGCAATCCTTGCCAGTGACTACGTAGCAAATGTCATACCCTAAATATTATTTTTACAGAAAATAACAGTCCTCCAGTAGCAGTGGCTGGCCCTGACAAGGAATTGACCTTCCCAGTAGAAAGTACTACACTGGATGGAAGCAAAAGCCAAGATGACCAAGGCATTGTCTTCTATCATTGGGAAAATATCAGGTATCTAGAGATTTTACTAATCTCCAGTGAAATAAAGAACAAAGTGAAAGTGATTTGGTGCCAGAGCCTCTTGTGCAATTGCGTTGGCTGATGCGCTGTTTTGAGAACTACTTTGAGGATCTTCCTGCTCAGGTGGTGATACAGGGTAGGAGACAGGAATTTTAAGTTCAGCTTGGAAAGCTTAGCTCTGCCCCTGTTTTGTGATGTGTTATTTTGAGGCTTGCTGTTACAAAGTTAAGAGAAAATGACAGGAACTACTGTATCTCCCATTAAAAAGTGAGTAACAGGCTTGGGTACCCTCCTGTAACATACAAAGTTTTACCATTGGTGCTTACAGCTAGGGTTTCTCAGTCGCCTATGTGTTGAATAATAAAGTAAATTGTCAATCTATTTAGCCTGAGCTTTCAATGGTAAATGACTAAGGCACTCTTGAATGGTTAAGGAAAGTGTTTTACCAAAGTTTTTAATTGTATGTTTATGTGCAAAACGAATTGATCCTTAATAAAAGGATAAGGTATTAGCTCATGCAACTGTCCTGTCTATGGTGCAGGAAGAGGTTTACTGGCATCCTGTACATGTGAGTGGCTCTTAGAGCAACAGTGTTTGCATGCTCCCATGAAATAGTACAGCGAGGAGGTTGAACTTCTGGGGTGCATTTTCTGCTCTTCTAATAACTGGGTATGCTTGTGTGCTTTGAATGTCTTGGAAAAAAAGGATTTATGAATTCTCTGAACTAAACTCATGTCTCATATAGTTCTTTAACCATCAGTGTTTATAGCAGTGGTAGAAGTACAGTGTACATAGAAGCAAATGACTTGAGCAATGCTGCTGAAAGAACAATTTGGCTGGCTGTGCAGGATTATTTTTCTGAGATGTTTTCTTTCAGTGGACCAAGCTCTGTACAGATGGAAAATGGTGACAAAGCAATAGCAACCGTGACTGGTCTTCAGGTTGGTACCTATCGCTTCAGGCTGACCGTGAAAGACCAACAGGGCTTAAGCAGTGCATCTGTGCTATCTATTACTGTGAAGGAAGGTAAGCCTAGTTGCTGCTTCTTAGGATATGGCAGGCAACTTGTCAGTTAATTCAATCACTGACAGAATGTAAAGGAAATCAGAACAGAAAAGGATGATGTATTTGTCATATTTCAAGGGTATTGAAGAAGAGTTACTGCTGTTTTGTAATAAAGTAGTATTGTGAGTGACTGGTAGAATTAATTTTGCTTACTGCAGGCTTTTTTAATGTTAAATATATGCAGAATTAGTTGTAATAAAAAAGCTCCGAAATACTGGTTTTGACCATGGTGTGTCACCTTCATTAAGAGGATATGTTTTTATTTTGGTCACAAAGTTAAGCTTTGAGCAGAAAAGCAATTTTACTGTGGGTTTCAAGTAACATCCAAGAAGTGAGGTCTCAGACTATACCAATTTCCACTTTAAAACTTAACATTAAAAGACCTGTATTATTTTGGTTTTTTGATACAGAGAAACTGTTTCTGTGGTGTTTATTTCATTTATTTTTTCCCCAACATGCATGCTGTAGGAGAGGCTTTAGGGTAATAATAACTATTATGCGAGATCATAGAATTGTAGATTCGTTTAGGTTGGAAGAGACCTTTAAGATCATCAAGTCCATCCATTAACACAACGCTGCCAAGTCGACCTCTAAAAACCATGTCCCTAAGCGCCACATCTATATGTCTTTTAAATACCTCCAGGGGTGGTGATTAACCACTTCCCTGGGCAGCCTGTGCCAATGCTCAACAACCCTTTTCAGTGGGAAATTCTTCCTGATATCCAGTCTAAACCTCCCCTGGCCCAACTTAAGGCTATTTCCTCTAGTCCTATCACTTACTATTTGGAAAAAGAGACTGACCTCCGCCTCACTACAGCCTTCTTTCAGGCTGTTGTAGAGAGAAATAAGGTCTCCCTTCAGCCTCCTCTTCTCCAGACTAAACAACCCCGGTTCCCTCAGCTGCACCTCGTAAGACTTGTGCTCTAGACCCTTCACCAGCTTTGTTGCTTTTCTGACAGAGATACTGTCAGGTACTCCTGACAGATTTCATAGCTTTGGCTTAAGTTGCATCCTCAAGTTTGCAGCTGGTGATAATTCTACCATCTTTTGCCTCATGTAGTTCCTTAGGGAATGGTTTTAGCAATCTCTATGGGCCTATGCTTCCTTTTAAAGAAGATGGCGTGATACATTTCAAATCTTGGTTGGTACAGTGCTTAGCTTTCTGTTGCATACCTTGTTTTTTGAGGGGAGTGATGCACTCTGGCTCTGCAAGTATGGTACCTATACCATTTATGAAATGATGGTAGAGTTGCATTAGAATCTTAGCTGCTGCCTTTCTTGAAAACAGTGCAGCCTTGTTTCTTTTTGACTTGGTATCACTGCAGAACAAATGAAACTTGGAGAAGAAACTGAACTAAGTTTTACCAATGCACATCGTTGGTTGAACTGCTTCAGAGTTTCAGTTAGGTGTTTACTCAAAAACACATGGCAACAGCTCTGCTCAAATGTGTCTCATGGTCTCATTTATGCTGTGAAGTGTAGCCACTGTATGTACTGACTACAGTCACAGGTTCAATATTAAAAATATTCAGAGCTCCAACAGCCAAGCTTAATCAACTGGTTTATTTGGAAGAGACAAGAAGATCACTTGTATCACAGAGAACTCTATGCTGTTCTAAAGAATAGCTACAGCCAATGTCCTGGAGATCTGCCCAAAACTGAGTTATCTATGTCCAACCTAATACTCAGACCAACGAGGTATTTCACTCAGCCTCACAGCTTCCTGGAGCCCTGTCTTACCAGTTATGTTCTAAATAAAAGTCAGTGATGTCTGCTTTCTGGACAGAGAATGTGTTCATGTTTCTTCGGTGTTTTTTGGCCGTACTCCCAATGCATGCCTTAATTTCACTGCTAGCAGTAAACAAAAAGCATTCGGGAACTGGGTTTACTCTAAGTATTCTGATTACACTTTGCCTAAATATAGGCATTGAGAAGATGTAAGACCTTTCACAAACTTCTGTTAGGTAATAAGTGATTCTCAAGATGAGAAGAGCCCAGCATGGTGATCTCATGCTGAGCTGTGTTTCTAAGTAAGCAGAAAATCTTTTTGCTTGACTGGAGACCTGACACTTGAGTTATTGTGAATTTACAAATAGAGTACCCCACAATACTTTCTGAAAAAGATCTTTTTGGATGGTACCTCTTATTGGTGTTCTTGTCATGGTGCAGCTCAGCTTTTGTCAGGTTGTAATAATCCCGTAGACAAATTATGTATACTCACTCATTCTTTCCCTGTACATTTGACATGAGATTTTGTTGTTACTGCCTGTAATCATCAGGTAAAGAATTGCAGTGTGGGTATATTGGCAATGGCATGTCATATTTCTCATGTTTTGAAAGCAAATCCTTCTCCACTATTTTTATGGCTAGAAAACAACAGTCCACCCCGAGCACACGCTGGTGGAAAGCATATTCTAGTGCTTCCAAATAACTCTGTTACCTTGGATGGCTCAAGGTCTGCTGATGACCAGGGCATCGTGTCATATTTGTGGATTCGGGATGGTCAAAGCCCGGCAGCTGGGGTAAGTTTCTTGAAGGTTGTAACTAGTCAAATTCAGCTCTTGTTATGCATGTAGTATCACTGCAGCAGGGCAAGCAGGTGTGACTCGTAGGATGCTGTGGTGTCTACTTCTGGTTTGTCTCCCCTGCTCTCTCTAATGCTTTGGTTCAAGGGGCTCATTATGCTTTCAGTACAGCTATAGAATATGGTAGCTAAGTAAGAGGACAGTAGCAGCATGGTCTTAGTTGAGAAAGACTTGAGACAGAAGGATGAAGTTGTGACTTTTAAAGAGTAATTTGTGATAGTACCAAGCTAATGTGTTTGAGAGAAAAATAATCTGAAATCCAGATATTCCAAAGGTGGAAGAGTCTGAGAGAGCAAGAAGTACCCATAAAGACTAAGGAATCATGTCTGGTACCACATGAGGCGAAACTTGCAGTTTAAGGTAAAAATGGTGTTTGATGCTAGATATATGGATACATTGCCTGGCAGACCATGGTAAATAGCCTCGGTGGTAGTGGAGTCTGCTCTCTGAGGGGGCACACAGCAGTACCACCTCATGATAAACTGAAGCTTATATGTCAGCTACTTAAAGTGTGATAACTTCTTTTGTGTATCTGCACAAAGTGTGGACAGCTCTTCTCAGTCAGGAAGATAGTGGCAAACCAGCGAGAACTGGGAGAAGAGAAACAGCAGAATGATAACAAAGCTTCTAGAAGCAATTCACATGAGGGTATGAGAAGAGTTGAAGAGGTTTAGTTCAAATATAGCTGGCAGTGATGATAGTTGGAAATACATGAACTCCAAGGAAAGGAACTAATTTGGGAGTTAGGAAAGTAGAATTGAGGATACTGCAGTAAAATTGAGAAATAATAATGTAACTCTCTCAGATTTTCAAGCAGATGAGTACTTGAGAATGTCAGGTGTTCTTTTTTTTAAAATAAAAATATGCATACTATGCAGACATCCTTATTAGCTGCCACTTCCAAATTTGCATTACTGTGCTATAAACTGTGGGTAGGTCACATTTGTCCTAAAAGCCAAAGCAAGAACTCACACTGTCATGCCAGATACCTGATTTGATAGTCGCACCTGCAACTTTCTCTGAGAGTATAATCATCCCGATACCATTTTTTGCAGGATGTGATCCATGGCTCAGACCACAAGGCAGTGCTGCAGTTAACTAATCTGGTGGAAGGAACCTATACTTTTCACTTGAAAGTGACTGATGCTAAAGGAGACACAGATATTGATTCAACAACTGTTGAAGTGCGGCCTGGTATGGCAATTAAAAGGTCATCCATACGTTGTGAATACCTCACCTTTGTTCTCCTTTTCACTTATTTCAATGGTGACAAGAGTCTCTCAAGTTAAAACACAAAGCAAACAAGTCTCACTCTTCCTGTCTTCTTATTGTTCTCTCAATAGGCCTGAGTGTGTTAGATGACGACATGTTAAAGATTCTTAACCATCAGTTACACCGTAGCCTTACTAGAAGCACAAATAAATAAAAATCATACTTCCTAGTTAATATTTTCATTAGGGCTTTGTTGCTTTTCACTAATTGTAGGTTTTGTTGCTTTTTTCTGGCTGTTAGTCATTTTGACCAATGGAAAGAAATGGGAGCTGAGCATGAAGTTTAGGTACAAATACTGCAGTTTGTGTGTTTGCTTCAAAGTGTGGTTTTATGCTTGTTTTCTTTCTTTCATCCTGAAAGCCAAAAACAAACCTCAAAGAATTTCAGGGTTTTTTAAATTGTCTTTTTGTGGTTTGATACTACTCGTATATAGGCTTGTTTTCAAATGCAGGATAAATGGCTATGTGATGGAAGCATAAGTTAAGGTTTCAGGAAAAGAGTCTGAAATCTTGGGTCTGTCAGAGATTTCTTGTTTGTCTGGTTCCTGGGCAATAATTTTATTTCTGTTCCTAACTCTGTTGTTGAATGTAGTCACAATAATTGACTCAGGATTCTCATTGGATATCTGTGAAGCTTGTTTTGTTTGCAAGGCACTCTAGAAGTTCGAGCATTATTTAACAGAACCCTCAGTTTGTGAAGGTAAACAAATTTGATATTTCTCAAATTGACCATCCTCATTTAGACTCGCTTACAGAGTCTTGCATGTACCATATGAGTCCATCTTTGCCTCCCTTTTCCTGGTTGGTAGCCAGTAGTAGGTAACTAGCAGCGAACTTATAAGTTAGACTTACCTCATGCTTACTTCTGACCTTAAGAGGGAACAGAAGTTGCTGTTCTGCACAGAAATGTGCTAATGCTGAACTGAAGTACACACTGAAGTGCTTTCTCTCAGCTGGTAAGCTGGGTTGCTGTCTTAGGACCCACCAGGTTTGTTTCAGAGAGAATGTGAAAATGTAGGTTAAGTACTTTTCTAAGAACGCAAAATGGTCGTGTTATAAGGGGTATGGGTCTTACGCAGGAAAACACAGTGTTAATAGATACTTCTGAGTACTGCATGTTGTCTTCAGTTGATACTGAAGTCTTTGCCAGGCTCTGAAAGAACAGCACATTCTTCTTCTGTCAGATCCCAAAAGGAGTGGTCTAGTGGAGCTGATTCTGCAAGTTGGAGTGGGACAGTTGAGTGAACAGCAGAAGGACACCCTGGTGAGACAGCTGGCTGTATTGCTGAATGTTTTGGATTCAGATATCAAAGTTCAGAAGATACAAGCCTACTCAGATAAAAGGTACAAAGATATCCTGCTGTGCCAGGAAGATTTGTGATTTTCCTTGACTCTTTCACAGCTCAGAATTGGTTGCAAAATATTTTTGCTAAGACGACAAAAGATTGCTAAAGCTCTCAACAGTGTACACTTCAAAAGGTGAATTTCTTCAGCTGTGGTAGAAAATTGATGAAGTAAGCTCTCTGGAACTGGTTTGTTTAAAAAATAATAAATTAAAAATTCTCTGTATAGTTTTTTTTTAATTTCTTCCTTTAAAGAAACCATGTTCATATATTTCAATGTCTTTGTTCCATATAGTGCTATTATTTTTCCCATATGCTGGATGGAGTGAGACAGACTTTCTCACAGTGAAGCAAGTATGGTATTTCAAAATAAGGTTTCAGATCTATCTGCTCAAACCTGTTTTATTCCCCTTTCCTTCTACCTTCTATTCCAAGTATTTTATAAACATTTTCCCAGGTAACTGGTGATGAAAATCCATTTTTTGCAAAGAAAACTACACAGTGGATACTCCTAAGTGTGGTATCTTACTCTGAAGGAGAAATACTGCCTCTAATCCTCTAATTGGTGTAGAGGGCTAGAGATGGCTATGCATACCCAGAGAAACTTCTCAGTGTGATTGGTAGAACCTGTTGACATGAGCGATCTTTAAATTACTTGTTGTTAACTACTTGGTAATTTAAAAGCCATTTTGGTGTCTATTTAGCTCTTGGGAAACCTCTTAAAATTTTAAAACAAACAGTTTAGATAATCTCACATTTATAGCTATGACATTTTTAATCACAGCCTCCAGTTACTGCTTTTCAGATAAAGATGTTCCCTGAAGTGTCTGATACAGGATGAAATCAATATGACCTAACTTAAAAAAAAAAAAAAGGGCAGGAGGGCAGGCTTCCACATGAAGTTCTCTGGCTCCCTTGCTTCTGAGCTTTTCCTGTTCTTAAATTCAGTATCTTAAACGTAGTCAAACTGCTTCAGAGTGCTTTGACAGGTTCTAGATGAGAGTGAGGAAAGCAAATGTATACATACTTAAAGCGAGAGTCAGGAAGACCAAGGAGGAAATTACATTTGCTGTTGTCTTCACCCTTCTTCTGTGAAACTGAGAAGCCAGAGAACTGCTGGAGCTGCTGACTCAGAATGAAGTCCATGGCATCTGGATGGAGTTGACTGATCCATGGAAGGAGTTCCCTGATCTTTATCAGTGGTGATGTTTGCTTTCCAGAAACAAACAAAACCAAACGCTGTAAACTGGGTGCCTGGCAAAAGTGATTTTTAACAGCAGTCATGACCTTAGCTGTTCTTTCTGCAGCACCGCGGTTGTGTTCTATGTGCAGAACGGGCATCCTTCCAAGGTGATTGAGGCATTGGACGTCTCACGAACTCTGCATGTGCAGCTTTTGAAAGAGAAGGCTGACTTTCTGCTTTTTAAAGTCCTGCGGGTTGACACAGCTGGTATGTTTTGGATCATGCTTGCTTATCTTGGAACTTTGTGGGCGTTTGGCTAACACAGCACCTGGAAAAGTGCATTAAGGCCATCTGGTGTCTGTGCTTGGATGTAGCTTTCCAAAAGATGACATTGAAAACAGTACTTAAAATGCTTGTTCATTTGTGCCAGTTTTACCTGTGCTCTTTTAAAAGATATCATCTGTAACAGCCGGCGAAAGCATATCTTAATCCGTCTGCATCAGGAAGGCCTGGGGAATGGGGATGAGGATAAAGGCACCCCACTCATGCCATCTTTTGTTGGAAGATGGGCAAAACTTCTTTTAGCCGTAATACAGAATGTTTCATGTCTCCAATTCCTTCAAGGCTTTTAGTGTTCCCTAATAGGCTTGTAATGTAACTTGGTTTTGTCTGTATTGGGCAAAATAGTCAGGGGATCACTGTGTTATAATCTAGTCTTATTTGCAGTGTGGACAGACCGCTGGGGTTTCTTACAATGAACTTTTTCTTTCCCGATAAAGATGCTTGAACTTCTAAGCCTGTTTTAAACTTCACTAGTAATGTGAACCCTTTATGATACTCGGATATTACAGATATGACTTCTCCGTAATTTAAAATTAGGACATAATGATCCAAAAACAAACAGAGCAAGCAAGCTCTGGCAATAGTAGTAGATTTTGTGGTAAATTCTCTCTTTATTTACCTGTTGAAAAGGACTGTTGTTCTATTGTAAATGTACTTGGATTACCAAAATGTGTAGGTGTCACTTGAAAATATGCGTTAACATTTTTCTTGACAGCAAATCTGCTGTTCTAAAGGGGAATAACTTTTTATTTTAGTCTGATACGACACATTGATCTAGCAATACCTATTACTGTAAGCATATGAGGTTTGTAAGTGTTCTGGCCTCAGATGCTATAATTCAGTTTTGAAATACTGAAATACTCTGTAATTTATTGGTATAATGCTTGTCTTCTAGTACCTGAAAGTGCTGATGTTCCTCAGTTCTCGGGTACTTTAGAAGTTCTTACAAATATGTCATAAAGAAAGGAGAAGGTCTGAATTCCACAACTTATCTTTATTTCTGGTTAGAATAAACTGGTTTTGGCTTGCATACAATTTCAATATTGTATGCATAAGATATATTGTTATCTTTCTCTTCAGAGCCAGCAGTCTGTTGAACTGTAAATCTATTTAACACGTAACAGCAGAGGAAAGGAGATTTAAAAAAAATATCAGAATGTTAGGAACTAGATGCTTTACCACCGATCAAGTCTCACAGTAAGAAGATGTGTGACAAGCTGTCCATTTACACAAATTGACCTATGTTTGGGTTTGTTCTTAGCTTGTCTTTTAAAATGCTCTGGACATGGACACTGTGACCCCATAACAAAGCGCTGCATTTGCTACCAGCTGTGGATGGAAAATTTGATTCATCGTTACCTAAATGATGGAGAGAGTAATTGTGGTGAGTTTGGGGTTTGTGGGTTGCATTTCAAGAGTTACTCATCGATTTGTGAGACTGTTGATTATTTGCTGTTGGAATGAGGAGTACTTAGGAGGTAGATGCTATGGGAAGACTGAAACAATCTCTTTGTTTTCCAGCCCAGCGATATCTTTCTGGAGAAAGATATTTGAATAACGTCTTGAAATGATAATGTCTTGACAGTAGTGGCCTATGTTTAAAATATTTTGGAAGTTTATTTTTTAAAAATGTATCTATCACTATTTGAGGGAAAAAAAAAAGCATTAAAACTTTGTCATGGGAGAGAGATCTTGCAACGCTTTGGGGCCAGTTGGAAGTGTTAAATAGCGTGGGCATTGCAAAGCGTTTGAGTAGTATTCATCTGATTGTTGCAAACCTGAAAAAGAGGGAACAACTTAGATTCTGTGAATGGGTGGTTGATGCTTCTGTGCCGGAAGTATGACCTGACGTAAGGAAAGAAAGCACCAGTGTTCTGGACTAACCAATGTAGTCACCTTTAAAACGTCACCTTTTTAGCGTGGTTAATTTCACTGTTTCCTTCAGTTTGCCTGTTGCACCTGGGAAATACAATTTGGTTTCACCAGCTTAATCGTGTGTATATTCTGTGGCACACCTAACGTATCAGCTAAGCCTCTCTATTTCAAATATCTAATAGTTTTATTTTAACTAAATTGGTCTTCTGCTTAAGTTGAACTAAAGCTCAGCTTTCAGTACTGTGCAGGCTTGGAGACATTTGCTGAGCAATGCACTACTGTTCAAGTAAACCTGTAGAAATTCATGAGGAGCTTGCTACAAGCCATTAAGTAACCATGGGCCATGTGTCAGTCTGTTAGGGAATGAAGACTAATTGACCAGCCGAAATGGGACCGCAGGTTTTAAGCCTGAGGCTGGGACCTCCTGTAGCCCTGCCCTAATGCTATGTTGTTCCATAGGGTAATAGTAACACTGAAATAGCAAGTATACACATGTTGGAGTTCACATTATTGCACATCTCTCTGTATGCTTCTCATGTTTTCCTGGATTTACAAATGTAAGCATGTGGGTAGAAGGGTCTGTCTCTAATCGGCTGCTCTTTTAAAGTACTACTAGAATTCCAGACCCAGAGTACACCTGTGTTTATTTCAGTTAGAGAACGACAGCTGAGGTGGTAACCATGCCCTTTTGACTTCCTGTTCCCACATAGACTTCAGGGTATCTTGGGATGGTAAAAGGTATTGGAGTGGAAGAAAATCTTCAAGCGTGCACTTTCAGTCTGGAAGCCCAAAAATTTTTAGGGATTCTTCTGAGAATATGAAGGTGCTAAGTTTTCCTAAGTTCCTGTTGCCATCCCCATTTCTCAGGACTCGTTGTTTTAATAGAGTTGTATTAGAAATTATCCTATTAATATTACTTAACAAAGCACTGTTGTGTTTCTTTTTTTCAGAGTGGAGTATACTGTATGTGACTGTATCTGTGTTTATTGTGATCGTGGTCATGGTAGGGCTTGCCTGGTTCTGCATCTGCTGCTGCAAAAGGTACATGATTTGTGTTTCTTTTTGATGGGATATATGCAAAAACTGCACACAACCTCCACGTTTTAGTCCAGTCCTTAGCACTAAACCACTGAACTCTTTCCAGACATGTGAGGAGGTTCCTGTGGCTATTTCTATACAGACACACTTTCATTGAAAGAAAAGTGTCCATTTGTGTCTCCATGCTCTTCTGCGTTTTGAAAAAGAAAAAGCTGATGTTGGGACTACCCTTCATATTAAGAGATAATTTATGTTAAAATGCTGAGAGCATACTATAGGTCTTCATGGTCTTCCACTGAGTCCTCCAGGTACTCCGTACTACGAAAAGAGAGACATGCCCTGAAGGTTACCAAAGTAGGCGTGTTCTAGGCCATGGGAAGGGAGCTGCTCCCAACCTAGTGTCTCCCTTGGACAGGAAGGGTAGACATGTGAGCTGCATCTAGCTGACAGGCAAGGAGCACTCTAGTGATCTCAGTCATGCAAACTTTTTGCCCTCTTTCCTTAAACAGTTTTGCCAGCTACTGTATGTCGTTTCCCTCTCTGTACCTTTCTCCTAGTGAGCCAATAACAAATTCTCTTTCAAGTGACAAGCCCTGTAAGTTCTGTTAACTAGAGCAAGCATTTTTGCTGCTGCTTAAAAACCCCAGCAAATAGGTAGCTTGTTCAGGTGTTAGCAAAATTGAAATACTGTCAAAATCTTTCTGGATTTTCAGCTTTTTCTAGGGTGCCTTTACAGTATGTAAAGGATGCTGTTTGAAATGCATGGGAGTTGGTACTGATTTCCTTTTTATGGTTGAAGGAACAGTGTTGTTTGCAGAAAGGTTTAAATAGAAGTGTGTCCCAATCCACTGCCACAGTGTGGGGTGGAGCCTCACAGGCTTGGGTGCGTTTGATGAGAAAGGGATTGTTTATGGAGTTCAGCTGCTTCTGTCCTTCGTCCTCATGTGGCTTGTGCCAGAGAGTAAGGGCTGGATGATACAGATATGTGTGAAAAAGAGGAGGGAAGTCCTGCACAGCATGCAAAATGGCAAGAGATGCACTCTGCCTTGCAGAAACTACAGGAAAAGGATACACTGTAGTGCAAGATTTGGTTGGAGTTTTGGAGGTGTTAAAGGCTTTGTTGAGTTGCCAAATGAGCTCAATTTTTTAGACTGCTGTAGAGGGGAGGCTGTTGCTGTAATGTCAGCTGAGCTGTAGTTGTCTTCTCCACTGTGAACTGTGCATTCTGGGTGGAAGTTCTTCTCCAGACATTGCCAGAGTCAATCGTTGCCTTGACAAAGGGCACGTGTCCACCTGTGCACCCCAAGTTAGGAGAAGGAGGGCCAGAAAAGTGCCTGAAGTGTGACAGCATCCTCTAGGAAGTGCCCCCTTGGTTTCATGCATGAATGCCTGTATTTCTACCCTGAAATCCTTTGTTGCCTCTCGATCCAGTACAACACACAGTTCTGTGTCTGTTCTTACAGCTCCAGGACTTTTCCTTCTGTATTAATGAGCAGCTGAGTAACTCCTGCAAACAGCTGAAATGTAACATAGAGACGATGAAGATTGCAGCATTGTAGTAGTAGATGTTGGGGAAGGATTTAAATGAAGAAAGAAGAGGTGCAGGTTTGCTTACAGACCAGTAGGGCTTTGTCCCTGCATATATATGAGGGAGCCAATCTCCATTTTTGTCTGGTCTTCTCTGGAAGCATAACTAGACAAGCACCATTTAAATTCTCTCTGTTAAAAAAAAAAAAAAAAAATTGGAGACTAACCAATTCTTACAGAAATTTTTTATTTGGAAACAAACGAATATATGTCTACCTTGTTTCTAGTTACTGTGTTGAAATTGAACAAGCTGAATCCCTGTGGCCTAGGAAAGCAAGTCAATCTTTCTTGCTTTTTTCATCTTTGTATCTCAGAGAGAAAATAAATTATACACTCTGGTCCAGATTGTACAGCTGCTTTATACAGGTACAGACTGGAACAACTCTTTTAAGTGGAGGTGAGAAAGTGCAATGAGGTTCTGTATGTCAGAGTACTTAGCTATGTGTATGAAAAGGGAGAGGGAGTGAATTTATGTGTGTACACGGGAACTAAATGTCTTTGTGGTAACTTTCTTTTTAGCAGAAAGAGAATGAAGATAAGAAAGAAAACAAAATATACCATACTAGATAGCATAGATGAGCAGGAGAGAATGGAGCTACGACCCAAATACGGTAAGCGCTGTCTGTTTCAGCTGGGGACTCATCCACCAAGCTTACAGTCAGTGTATTTGAATGGACATGTGCAGTCAGGAGGAGCCCAGAAGCTGGTCTGCAAGTTTGAGAATGGCAGAGGCAAGCATAGATGATGAAATGGTTGGGAGAGAATCACTTAATTTCTTTCATGAGGCTCTGGGCTCAGCCACTGCTCTGAGCTTCTTCCTTAGTCTTAACTTAGAACATCTAATTGTCCCACAGGCTTTCTCCATGTAACCCCTCCTCTCCTGCACACACTTTTAATTGGAGCTGGTTTTATTGCTGTGTAGCAGCTCCCTCCTGGCCCATAAGTGCCCTGTTAAACATCAGTAGATTTCAGCTGCTACCTTCTGGTCACATACATTTTGATTTACCTGACAACATTTCTGTAGAAACCATGACCTTTCATTGCTGCTTGTGTTAATCAGATAGTTGAGTGGACAGACTAATTTCCAGATTCAAGCTATTAAAAGTACATTAGCTGTGTACTAAGATCATCTAATTGTTTCAAATTTAGATACATGTATTCACATTTCAGAGCCATAAACTGATGGGCCTGCAGTGCCGAGTATTTGCCCAACAGCATGTGATATATCTCCTAGGCTAGTTTTTATATTGGTGGTGGCAGTGGTGCAAGCTGTTACACTGGATTGCAGATAATGTTTTCACTTATCTTTCCTAGCACAGTCTGGGAGAGGATGGTTACTTGTTACTAAAAAGTGAAACCTTTCTGATGTGCTTGTTTTGCTTTTTTATTGTCAGGTATAAAACACAGAAGTACAGAACACAACTCCAGTCTGATGGTCTCTGAGTCAGAGTTTGACAGTGATCAGGACACTATATTCAGCAGAGAAAAGATTGAAAGAGAGAATCCTAAAACCCTCACAAATGGATCCATCAGAAATGGAGTTTCCTTCAACTACAGCTCCAAAGACAGATAACTGAATGAGGGTAAAAAGCACAGAACGTGCTGCTCCAACACATCTAAAATATGTTGGCCCGCCTCTGTTTTTCCAGCACTGAAAGCTTCCTAAAATATCAATTTACTGTGGATGAAAGGGTAAATTTCTAGCACAGTTAGGGAAAGGAAGGAGGAAGGATTATCTAGGAGTCAGCTAACTCCTCATGTCACTGTTAGAGGAACAAGGAAAAGCACATCTTAACTTCTTGCATGTTCCATACTGACTGTTTGTCTGAACTTCAGAAGACCTTTTTTTCCCGTATCACTGCTACAAAACTAGCCAGGGCCGTTACGCTAATAACAATGGTAACTGAGATGCATTGTGTCCTGTGCTTCTGTCTTTCTCTTGGAGAAGCAGTGTGATTATGATGCTGACCTAAATCAGCAAAATCCAGTGTAGATAAATTCCCTTACAACTATAGACAGCAATATGTGACTGCATCCATCTTCATTTTCAGTCTAGATTGGGAACACAAAGGGAGAGCACTTTTAGTGCATTGTATTTATCTCTGACTGTGCTTTGTGACTTCCTTTTCTGCAGTAGTGCTCATCAGATGGAAATGTCTTTGTTTTCAAAGGAAATTTACAATTAGCAGTTGCATTTAATCAGCTGTAACGTGATAAATCTGTGTCCTGTAGGATGCAATGTTCCCTGTATTTACATAGAAAGTATGGTGCCTGGAGAGAAGTCCAGCCTCAGGTTGCTTCTGAAACGATGAAGGTGCTTTGGCTTTCTGGAGTCTGCCACGTCCAGCCAGGAAACAGTAGCAGAAAGGCAGGAAAGACTCAGTGCAATGCTCCTTCAGAAGCACTTTGAGCATCCCAACCTTTTCCTTAGAGAACACTTGTAAGGAGCTCTGGACCTTTTAAGACTCAGCTGAGATGAGTTTTCATCTGTTGGCCCCAGTGCTCAATTAAAGAATGTTATCAGGTATTTGTGTAGTGAAATGCTTGTGGCAAAATATGCTATCTGGAGCAGGAGGTTCAACATCTACCTTTGTTGTTATGGGAGTTGGTACTGAGGGAGGTTTTAGCTTGAACATTAGATTGTTTTGCTTTTTCCTCAGTGGCTCTTCAGTGACTGGATGTGTTGGCCTAAAGAAATCTCTTCAGATGTTTGAGAAGGGTAGGTGTGTTGGAGTTCTGATGTTCGTGTTCACAATCTGGATAATTTCTTTACAGTGTGCTTGTTAGGCTTTAAAGCCATGCCCCTGGTACTGTTCTTGAAATGCCAAACTGAAGATGTGGCTTTTGTACCTAAGCTTCACTTGTGGAGGCGTCCGTGTCACTGGTATTGTCTGGCCATGATGTCAGCTTTGCCTGGGGGTCCTTTACTGACATGCTGGAGTCTTGGGCTGAGCTGGAGGAATCATGTGTTCAGATGGAGAAAACATTCCTCTGGCAACATTTTAGACAGGTGTGGAGTTTTTTTAACTTTTTTTTTTTTTTAATCTGGTGATGTGGAATCAATTGACAGAGAAGGGCAGAACAGTGTAGAGATCAAGGGGAACACATGAGAAGGGTCAGGGAGGGGACATAGCCCCCCCCTTGCGAGGAGTAATTTGGTGGAGAATTTTGGGTCTTTCCCCATCGTTTTATAGAAGTCTGACACAACAGAGTAGTTGGGTTGAACATTGGGGCTTCTGTGCTTCTTTTGTTAATGGAGTTGGACAAGTATTGGAAGTACTGTCTAGGTTGGAAGGAATCAGTAGTTAAAGGCTGCAGCAACATGGCGTGCTTATAACTGGTTTCATACCTTTGATTCTCAAATGCAGCCAGCAACAGTCCCTAAGGCTACTAATGCTGCACAGAGGAGCATTTAGCCTGTGCCCAGCCCCGCATTTCTCTGGAGAGCTGAATGTGGCTGCAGGAGTCAAGGTGGGAGAGGCTGTGAAGAGTAAAAAGGGCTAATGCAAGTGGTTTTGATGTTTTTCCCGTATTCACCAGCAAGATGCAGTATAAATGGTATGATTTGCTTTCTTCAGAAGCCAAGTCTTAACTCTATGTGTATGGGGGTTTTAGGCTATTTATTGAAACAAATCTGCTTTATCTTGCTCTCCTCCTTCTTGAGTGTGTGTGTGTGTATATATATTTTTAATAACTTGGTCAATAAAAACAAGGTCAGCTTGTGATGTCTTTCAATTTCTGCTCCAGATGGTTAACATAATAATGCAATGTTCACTTTAAAGCATTCCTGAAGAAAGTTAAGACACACTTAAAATAGGTGTTTTTTTTTTTCCTTTTTAAATCAAAATGTTGGGTTTAATCCATTCTGCGCAAATTCCCAAAACGTTCTAGCAGGAATTATGCTCTTGGAAATATGTATTTTAAAAAAAAAAAAAAAAAAGTTGCATAAGCAACTACAACTTTGCATTGGCCATGCTGCCGTTAATGCTTCAGCTAAATAACTGTATTCACTGTGCCTTTATCTATAAACTTATCTTTTCAGTGCAGACAGCAGCATCCTTCAGTTTTGTGAAGTCGGTCACTTGTGTGTTTTGGTTTTATTTTACGTTTTTAAAGCTGGTGCTGAAGCCTTGGAGTTTGTTCTTTCAAGGAATTAAAATTCAGATATCTTTTTTTAAAAAAAAAACAAAACCACAACAAAACCCACTGATTCTCTACTAAAACAACTACAGGGTTGATAAGGCTGCTTTCCTCAGTGCTGCAGAATTCCCAGGGCTATTCATCCTCCCACACACACATGCTGTGGGCTGGGATCTTTGGATCGATGGTAAGCCCATGTGCCATGAGGACGTATGCGTGATTTGGCCAAGTATTTCTCACTCTTAGAAGCATTAGACCAATTTCTTTTTGCATAAGGCCCTAACAAGAGGAAGTTAGTTATTAAATTTTGTTCTCTAGATGATGCTTTAACATCTTTGTTGCTAACAGTATTTTAGTTATGTTTTGAAAGTTGAATATAGTTTAAATTTTTGAGCTGCTTCTGATTCTATTAATTTGAGTCTTCCACCTCCTCGGAAGGATAAGTCTTTCCTTTTACATAAAGTCAGGCTTCCTCTTAATATGGAACTTGAACAGAAGTTGAAAATAAGTTTCTGGCTCTGTGAATTTGTGATATCACATGTTTGTGTCACTTGGCCAAGCATGATTTTGTCAGAAATTTAGGACTAGAAGCTATAGCAAGCCTTGTCTCTTGATTTGGTGTCATTTTTATTTCTAGAGCTGTTGCTTTGTTTCAGAATGTCTGGTCATATCTGGAATGAAAGGGTCAGAAAACTAGTTGTTAAGGTGCAAACACAATGGTAGAATACTGATGCTAGTCTTCTGGTTTGGGTTATGATGGATTTGAAGTAGGTTCCCAGTTTTCACATTTGCTTCCACACATCATTTTCCTTCATATAGAGAAAGAGTGCTGGCAGCTTCTTTGTGAAACAGGGTTGGAAATACTCCTAACAGCCTCATCTGCACTGAAAAGCAGGGGAGACCATATACAGCTTGTCACATATGGCTCAGAGACCACTGAAAACAAAGAATAAATTCAGTTTGGCACTGGTATGATACAGCCTTTCTTTGAAGGCAGACAGCATGCTGATCCTTACAGTGCTTCATAGCCTTGATGTAAGTGCTGGATTTTCATTTGCATCTTGGTTTTACTTTTGTATGTGCTGATGCATGCACAAAGATTGTCTAGCTATGTAAAAAGACTGCCTTTGTTTGCATTTTAAGTCAGGAATATATTTTGGAAGAAAACTTCCTTACCACTACTGCCTGAGGCATTAAACAGGTTCTGTTCTCAACTTCAGTACTCAACACAGTGCATACAGCAAAGTGTACTTGCCACACTGCGAAGAGGTCATTGGCTTGAGTATTTAAAATTTACCTTGGCAAATCTGCCAAGATGCACATCCAAATTCTCTGTCCTATGGTTCGATCTTTCATACTAACTGCATAGATTGCTGTGAAATTCAAGCAAAATGTGAATGGTCTAATTGCAGAGGATTGTTTATTTGGGGAGGGGAAAAAAGATTTTTCCTTGTTTCATGTGTAAGAACACATTTTCAACTGCATCCTTTTAGGTAAAGAGAGTCTTATCAGTCTCCCTCTGTCAGATGCATCAGGTACAGGTACTGTCAGCTGTGTTTGCTTATATGATGCTAATTTTCCATTTGTCTTGGTCTCTTGTGGGCAAACAGAAGTGTGCACACATGCAAGGAGCTTAACAGTGTGTGAACTTAACAGGGAGAGAGTGAGTGTCTGTGTGTGTTCTCTATGCTGAATTTAAACTTTAAACAGTTCTGATGTTCTTGAAATAATTGAGTTCTTAGGCAAATTTCCTGTTCCCATTTTAAGCCTTAAGTGAGACTAGTTTTGCCCCTCAATATACTGATAATGGGCTGTAGTCAGCTGGAGCTTTGGGATGGTGGTAATAAAATGACAGCTTCTGTAGTCTTCTGAGCCATTTGTGTGAGGTTTGAGAGCAGTAAACATTCCTCTAGAAGGAAAGTGGGGTAGAGGTGAATTCGAGTTTCTTAACATCAGCTGTTGCTTATCATTGATCCCTAACTAGAATACTAATCCCGTACTTCTGCAGCAAAGGAGAACCTATTTCACATACATTTTGAGTCCCCAAGGCAAGGGAGGGAGCCTTTAAGCTTAGAAATTAAATTTTAAAAAGGAGGGAGAAAAGCCAAATCACTTTTTCTTTTGCACAGGCTACAAATCAAGTGCAGATGAGCCACACATCAGTAGTTTGTCTCTGTATGGAAGCACTTCTCCCTGTGGGTGTTCGGTGAGCTATTTCAGAATTTATATTAGGAATCTGTTTCTAGAAAATGTTATTTATTGCAAATTATAATGTATCGTAACTGGAACCATTTCTGAGCTGAAATTACTACATTTATGTAACTACTAATAAAGTTTTGCCTTTCCTTCTAGGAACTTGTCAGGTACTCTGTTAGACATGGTATTCTGTGTTGGACTTAGCTCTCCAGTCAGGCTTATAGAGATGTGTCATAT